CCAGGCTAAAATTTTAGAGAACCAGTCACCTATAGTTTGTACAAAATATTATTGTTTCGTATTAGTTCTGAAAATTCATATTAATTTACAGAATTCTACATCCCTTTTGCATATTCAATACTACAGTTCGATATGCAATATTTCAAGCAATGAAATTTGGGTTGTAATTTTAAGATTACCCATAATTTTATAGGTTATAAAAATGATAAATCATGTATTAAACATTGCTTTTCAGAAGATTTAATAAGCTAGCTAACCGTGAAAAGTCCTCTGCTTTTCAAATTTTCGTTTAGTGCATGTTTACAAGTTATGAAATGAGTCCTCCTTTCTGCAAACTCCACCTCTCTTGGTTTCAAACGCTCTCACCTCTCTCTAAAACTTCAGACTCTGTGTTTCTGTGGGCTGCTGTCGGCGCCTTAGGGTTGTCGGCGGCATCCCCTTTTCTTCTTTCTTTTGCTTTGTTGCTGCTTTGATTTGTTCTTTGCTTCCTTTTTGGGGCTTTTCCCACCTCTTCTCAGAAGATCGGTGCTTCTTCTTCTTCTTCCTCATGTCTGATCTTCGTAGATCTGAACATTGAGATGTTTTGTTGGTGACAGAGGGGGTTGAGGTTTCTTCAATCTGCTTTCTCCTTCATGTTTCTGATCCTCCTCATTGCTTCACCGCTTCGGCTTGGTGTTTCGGAGAAGACTGGGAATCCTATTGTGATCCTCCCATGGTTTTCAGCTTCATGGAGCTCGAAGGCGAAGATCAAGCAACAGAGGCTCCTGATCATTTTCCTTGATGCTTTCAGCGTTTCGTCAGTGTGCGTTTTCGTCTTTTGAAGGTGGGTTTGCAGGTTTTCCCCGATGTTGGCTTGTTGGTCGACGGATCTGGGTTGACGGTTTCCTCCCTCAATCGTCTCTGTCAACGCTTCCGACGTTGCTGATGTGGTGTGACTTGCTTACTCTGGGCGGCGGCTGCACAGAGCATTTGGAGTTTTGATTAGGCTGCTAGGGTTTCACCAGGCCATGTGTTGGGCCTTTGCCTTTTGTGGTCTGTTGTTTGAGCCCTTTTGTTGTTTGGTCTTTCCTTGGGGTTTCGGCCCATTATCTGCTCACTTCCTGGGTTCATTTAATGAATTACCAATGATTTCAAAAAAAAAAAAGTTATGAAGATAAAATAAATTTGTTTAGTGTAATTGGTTGTGAATATTATTTTTGTTTGAAGAGACCATGATTCAAATCTTTATATTGATACTTTTTCATATGAAGTAGATAATAATTGTGATGACAAAAATACTCTTCCTACTTTCACTCTCACATCACGAAATTTGAAATAGAAAATCTTAAAACATTGAATTATCAGCTTCTTCAACCAAGTAGGAAATGTATTTTACCAGAAATTATTATATCTTATAGAAAGTGATAATTGTGAAATCAGAACTCAAGTAACATTGATTCAAACATTAAATAATAAATTGTATGTATGTTTCAGTTTAGACAAAATACATATTTGTAGCCAAAACATTGATCTTTGTGACAAATATAATAAAGATCTTCGTCCAAGGTTAATCGCTTCACATATGTAAGTCATTTTTTTTTCTCTCTTTGTCTCATGGTTTTATCTTTCTAACTTATAACAAAATTGACTTTTATTTCAGGTTGTATCATGAACAGAACATGCAGAAGATCTATTTCTTTTGATCCTATTACGCGATACGATGTTTGAAGCCCGGTGGATCTTGCATCGTTGCTCCTCTATATGTTCTTAGGTTTCAACTTCAATGAGGCTTTTATCTACATAGAAGGTTCATTGAGTTGATCTGGTAGGCTATTATTTCCTTCCCAATTTATCTAAGTTGTTTGTGATTGATATATAAATTATAGGAAAGAAATTTGAGCGGTTTATTTGAAATCAAATAGATGTTTGTGTAGAACAGGGACAATTGTACTTTACTATCACCCTATCTACTTTTTTGTTGTTTGTTTGTTGTATTTCTTTTGTTCTTTGGTTAGCTATTGAAATAATAAAATAACATCATCATTTTATTTTTTTCAAGTAAAATATTTCCGCTCAGGTTTTATTTTGTCATATCTAATGTTCTCCGAATCATATTTTTCTTCATCAATCTCGATTCTTATCGTCCAGCTCACCAATCAAATTTTGATATTGTTTTAGGATTAGTTAGATACTGTTGATTTAGTTGATGTTTTTAGTGTCCATCAATATAATTGCAAGCCATAATGATTGCTAAAGTTAAGTCTCCACGCAACAATACTCTAGGAGGTGGAGGTTTGAACTTGGAGTAGAAGAGTTGGGATTAGATTTGGTAAGGGAAGTTGCGGGAGAAGAAATTATGTTTGGATTCGGTAGCAAGTAAAGTTCAACTACATCAGGTGAAGGCGGAGTAGAGGGAGTTGGCAATGGTAGTGATCGAATTGAGGAGGATATCGAAAGACATGGAAGCAAAATTGGAGTAGTTGAAGAGAGAGAAGTGAGAGATGATGAGGATATTAATGAAAATGGAGCGGGTATTGAAGGGCATGGAAGTGAACTGGAGCAGGTGAAGGCAGTCAAGGAGGATATGAGCATATTAATGGAATTGGAGATGAGGGTTGGTTTTACCAATCTTATTACAACTGCCCCTAAGGAAAATGAGTTTGCCAAATACAAGAAAAGGATTGAGGAGTTGAAGAGCGAGTTGACAAGAACCCTAATTGGAAGAGAAATTGAGTGTCACAGAGAGAAGGACCATCAAAGTAGCAGAAATGGAATTGCAGGAGAAGGATTAGAAAGTGAATTTTGGGTTGAAACAAATGCCTCTTGAGATTTGAGATAGAGGGGATAAATAGTTGGTTGTACAACGAATAGTAGTGGCTATTGGTCTTTAGGTTTATGGTTGTTGCAGCTACCACAACCTATGTCTATCTCAAAATGAGGAATCATTGATTGCTTTATTAAAATTAAGGTCGATTCTTTATTCAAACTACTGGAACTGATAGATAAGGAGTGTCTAATTTTGTGTCATATTACTTTGATCGAGTCTATTAGTATATTGGAGGTAACCCTAATTTTGTCATTTGCTCTCAACTTTTGATGGTCCCCTTTGAGTTGAGTTGTTAGTATATGGTTGACTTGAATCAACAACTCTCCATTTCTTTTAATTAGTGGCATGTTGTTCCTAAAAGTAGAGCATTGAACTCTTTATGTAGGATTATGAGATTTTAGTTTTAGTTTCCAATTATCGGAAAAATGCCAAAATCCACATATTTAAAAAAATAAAATAAAAAATACACATGTTTTATGAAAAATTCACAAAATACACATGTTTGGGCATCCTGCGGTCATCAACCGCAGTAAATGCATTCACCGCGGCAGACAAAAGCGGTGAATGCATCACCGCGGTTGACGGTCGCAGTGAATGTCTAACATAACACTGAAACTTCAAATGAACGTAACTTTGCGCTCGGTTATCCGATTGTAGCAAAAGAAAAAAAGTTTGATATCGCATAACTTTTCTAGGTCTTTCAATCTGCAACAAGCTTCCATCCTTTGATACTCCGAACGAGCAATTTTGCGGTTTTGCCAAACTTTGAAAGGCTATAATTTTTGCTACTGAATCCGAACGTCATAATTTTTTTATTGCGCATAAATTTTTAAGAACTACAACTTTTACTAGGAATTTTTTTTTTAAAAAAAGAGGTTTTTTTTAGTATACGGGATTTTGGGAATAACTTTGTCTTTACTTTTTACAAATCCACATACATTCCAAAATTATGGTTATGATCAAAGTTGTAGTTCTTCAAAAGTTATGCGGGAAAAAAAAATTCATGTCATTTAGGAATTTTTCATAACACGTGTGTATTTTGGATTTTTTTTAAACGTGTATTTTTGGATTTTCTCCCCAATTAACTATGGGTTGTGTTAGAATTCCAATGGGATTTTATACTCTATCTCTCCTGACAATCAATTAACCAATAGCATTTTAATGGAGGCTTAATTATCATTATGAAATGAGATTAAGTATACATTTTTATATTTTACAAACTTAATTGATGATGGTATTTTTTTTAAACATTCATCCTATATATTCATCCCACGAGATTTCATATTCTCTAAAAGAATTGCAGAACGCATTCCGAAGAGTCGAATACTCACCAACGGAATTCAGTGGGCGATGCTAGCGGAGCTCCTGCGAAATATTGGCCGGACATGGGGACAAGGAGCTTGGACGAGGAGAATTGTTGCAGCGCTGCAGTGGGATTGCTTTTTTAGGGGAGAGTTCTCGTCTCTCTTTTCCCGCTATGGTTGTCTATCACTGGGATAGTGGCGGGATTAATGATGACAATGGGACGGCGGGGCGGTTACCTCAATTCTCATGCCCCGCCCCACGCTACTACGGGTCGGGGCGGGCGCGGATACGGGGCGGGTATACCCATTCTTAATTGTTATTTGAAAAAAATACACGCAAAGTTTACTTTTTACGATAAAACGAAGGGGATAATACTTTATAAATGAAAAATAGTGATAATAAAATGCGTAATTGAGACTAACAAGTTGAAAGATCGACTCTAACTAGTTGAAGAAATGTCAAAATAGGAGAAATATGGACGGATACGATAAAAAATTGAGATAGAATGGGCCAAGAACAGGGTGGGACGGGGCAGGGCGGGTCGAAAGTAGATACCCATAGCTCGCCCCACGTTACTGCGGGTCGGGTAATACCCGCCCCATCGCGGGTCAGGTTAGGTAATACCCGCGGGGCGGGTCCAAATTGCCATCGTTAGGCGGGATGCAAAATTTGTTTAGTTGTTGGTCTTAGGAAAGACTAGATTATAAATAGAGCCGGAGAGGATTTATAACACGAATGTTGCCTAGCTGAGATGAGAAAGTAGTATACATGTCAATGCATTGTCGCTTGTTTGAATCACAAGTTGCCAATATATACTTAGGGATTTTTTCCAATTGGCAAGGGGGATGCACACACCCCAAGTGATCAAGTGGCTCCGCCACTGGTTTACATGGCGCGACCATCCAGAACCCAACAGCTGAAAACCCCCAAGTTGAAGATGAAGGTTTCGGTATCTTACGATTTGGAAGACCTGCATGAGACTAAAGAGGAGGAGGAGAAGGGGAAGGGTAAGAAGAAGAAGAAGAAGAAGAGGAAGCATAGGCCGGATTCTGATTCGGGCAGTGAAAGTGAGGCTTCTGTTTTCGAGAGTGATAGTGAGTCTTCGTCGGTTACTGGGTTAGAGTGTTCATCTGCTGAGATTAGTTCGGAGGATTACAGTTCATCCTCGGATTCAGAGGAAGAGAAGGGGCGGAGGAGGAAGAAGAAGCACAAGATGAGATTGAGGCGGAGGAGGTACAACTCGTCCTCGGAGTCTTCTGATTCTGGCTCGGGTTCATACTCGGAATCTGAGGAGGATAGGAGCAACAAACGAAAGAAGAAATCCAACAGGAAGCGTTGAAAGCCAAAATGTGCAAGTGCCTTTGGAATAAGTTTGTAGACTACCATCCCGTCATCCGAATGGTTATGTTAACCTTTCGGTGTTCTGTATGAAACCAAATTAGTTGTTTGAGCTTGCGAGTCTGGTATTGTTGTTCAGTGGCGGACTCAGAATTGTTGGAGAGGTGTGTCGGCGATGAAATAAGATAATAATTAAAAAATTAATTAAAATTAATTAAAAAATTAATTAAAATTAAATAGAAATTAATTTCTAAAGTTCATAATGTCATGTTTATAAAGAACCACGACGAATTTTAATGTCCTGAAATGTCTGTAAAATACATTCATCGTTTATGTTGCGAAACAAATCCTTTTCGATATACACAACTAAACAATCATTTATAAATTGGTCACTCAACCGATTTCGAAGTTCATTTTTGATTATCTTCATAGCTGAAAAATGCTCTTTCGCACCTTGCAATTGCAACAAGTAAAGTCAACACCAACTTCAAGAGCAAGTAAACTAAAGGGTAAATACAATATATTATCCATAACTATTAAGTAGCGGGGAATTATAGCCACAACTATCGAAATACAAATTATTAGCCAATCGTTAAGTTTTCTTTAACACTTCAGTTAGTAATGATGACTAACCTTTTACGATTGTGAGTTGGCTCCCACGTTGCAGTCATCATATCATTTTTTTACGATGCTGACATTGCCTTCTACGTTAAAAATTGAAAACAGTAACTTGCTGTTAGCCAACTCTTGACCCACAACAATAGTTATGGCTAATAATTTGTATTTCGATAGTTGTGGCTATAATTCCCCGCTACTTAATAGTTATGGCTAATATATTGTATTTTCCCTAAACTAAATGATAAAAGAAAAGGGGATGTGGCAGTGAGTCTCGGTAATTAGAAACTAAAAAGAGGTAAGTATGAGTTTTTTATTTTCAATAAAAGAAGGGTCAAGGGGTGGAAACGGAAAGTTTCAAAGGATGAGGTTATGTATATTTTTTTCATTGTTAGGTTGTGGTGTGGGTTACTTTAAAACAAATATATTTATTTAATTTTACTTATTATTGTTTATTACTAATTAAGATAAATAACTTTATAACAAGAAAATCATTCTCGTATAATGGAGGTGTGTCGCTCACAATTATTTGAGGCGTGTCGGAAGCCTCGAGTTAAAAAAAAATTATACCAAAAATATATAGGTAATTCAAAAAAATTCCGGGCGAAGGTGTGTCCGACGACACACCCTGGCCCTTACTAGGTCCGCCCCTGGTTGTTCTCTTCCTCAGCCAGTGTTCTTGAATTTGAATGTGCCAGTTAGTTTGGTGAATGCTTATGAGCTTCTCTCCTTTGACGTCGTTGCTTTGAAGAAATTTGAGTGCAGAAAGTAATATTCATGCTTTGAATTCACTTGCAAGTGATGACATTGTTAACAGGCACATTTCTTATTAGTTCGAGGGTGAAATCCTCTTGAATGCGTGCGACTCGATTCCTTTTGTATCTGTCTGTTCTGTTAATTCAATAACTTTTTTCATTGCTTTGCAAAATGACACTCTATTTTCTTAATTGTTCGGCTATAAATTCTGCAAGAATATTAGGTTGCCTGTAAGGATTTTCGATTCTTGTAATAGTAATGTTGATCTTTTGGTTCACACAATTCAGTTCTTCTTGGATATTCCTTTGTAATTCTTCGAGTTTTTTAGGTTTACCCTCTATTAATAATTTTGGAAATCTAATATATATTATGATCTGAATCACGCCGATTCGTTTTTGAATCTCTATACGTGAAATTCCCTCAATAGCAGAACAAAATTTCATATTTTTTTGTACATAATTCTTGATACAGTTTCTTATTTTTTGATCTTCTTGCAGACCTTCAGAATAATTTTTGGTTGTGCAAACCAAAGAGAACGATGACAAACCCAAGTGGATTTATTTTTTGTCGCATAATCCCTCACTATATATACGAATCATGAAATGTTTTTTTTACCCACCCACTTTATCAAGCATAATTTTTTTTTGTTATTTCTTCATTACAATAAGATTATAATAGCTTTCTAACTCGTCCCTGTTATACTTTTCATAGAAAGATTTGTCTGTCAATTCAATACGTATATGACAACTTGGCCTTTTTATCGCATAACTCCGTCCTCGAGCCCGAGCTTTTAGTTTTTTTGCAGTACTACCCTCATTGACTTCGACTTTAGTAATAACTAAATCGTCTTTCTTAAAATCCTTGTTGTGATTTATAGTGACACCTTGTACGAAATTTTCCAGTTTTTGCTTTTGGGATCGTTGTAGAGACTAGATATTGACTGGATAATCAGGGAACTTCGTATTTCATAGTTCGAGCAATAATAAAGTTCTAATGATGTTAATCAGCAAATGCAGTTTGTCGCGTGTATTGGGGTTTGGCGTTTGGGCTTTTACTAATGTTTATGGTGATGAGTTGGGCCTGGGCCTAATATTAGAAAATCCAGCAATAGTAAAGAAACTTCTGGATGGGGTAACTTAGTCACTACTGAGCAGTGACTAAGGGTGGGCATGGGTCGATCCAGTCCAAGACTGGAGCAAAATATCTTCGGATCGGATCAAAATATCTTCTAAATCGAGAATCAAAATCTGAGTCCTTATTTCTTCAATTTGGTCTGGATCAAACCATATATTGTTTGATTCGGTCTGGACCATCCCATTAGACCAACTAATCCTACCATTTGAATAAATTTACTCTTAAAGGACAACACAAAAATTAAAATAAAAGTAACTAAACAAAAAAGAAATAATCAAATTATCCCAATTTAAATACTCCACAATTCATGAAAAAACACATGAATGATAGAAGGATTATTATCAACTGGTCATATTCATACCCAGTTGACAACATATAAGTGAAGTAAGCAGCTCTCACTTAGACTTGATCGAAGTAACGCCGATCAGAACACCGATTTGAGGGTGGGACTAGAGGAGCGACGTGAGTCTAAGTCAGGGGAAAGTAAATCATATTTATAAGTAGTTAAGTGTCGTATAGGGTACTAGGGTTTTCAACTCCAAGTTGACTTGTCTTCTAGGAGCATAATATAATAGACAATTAATTTAGTTACGGTCCGGTCCCTAATTTGATTTTACGATTTTGGTCCACACAGTACCAAAACCAAAAACTTCCCAAATTCAGAAACTCAAATCAAATAGAAAGATGAAAAATCGATCCGATTCGATATGAAAGTCGATTCGGTCCGATTCAAACCGATGTGAACCAAATCGTTGCCTACCCTTACTAGTGACCAGTCAGTAGTACTCTCACCACATTATTCCCACTCGCCCACTGGAGTCGACGGAGGTGAAAGTACCGAAGTTCCTCTGCCGTCCCGCCAAAACGCTCGATTCTCTGCAGTCGCCTCTCTTCGTGTCTCTGCAACTTTCAGAAGTTCCGCAAAGATGAGTACCATGAAATTCTGCCGCGAATGGTAAGCTCTCTTCTCGCTTCTTCCTTTCGCTTCTTTCTCTTCTGCGCTTCTTCATTCTCGGTAGCAGAAACCGTTGTCAAGTTTTTCTACTTCTCTGGAATTTATTTGATGCAGCAACAACATTCTTTACCCTAAGGAGGACAGGGATCAGAAGTTGCTCCTCTACGCTTGTCGGAACTGCGACCACCAGGTACCGTCTCCCGATTCTCCCTTTCGTCTCTCGTTTACGCGTCCAATTTCTGTTCTTCCCGTCCTGTATGAAAAGCTAGGGTTTTGTAGAGTTCGATTGAAAGGTAAATGCGTTGCTGGAGAGGTGTTTCAGATGTGATAATGCATGTGAGGTTGAAAAAGCAGAGCGCACATTGAATGTGTGCTGCGTTAGAGTGTTGTAGGATTTACTCCTACATTTTGTTCTAGGTTGAACGGGAAAGAAGAGATGCGCGGTTGTACTTCTATCTTTGCTTTTGTTGCATTTCTAGCTGTTCTAAGTCGGTAGTTCGTAATTTAAGGATTTTCTTTCCTTTCATAGAAACTGTATTTTATATTAGATTCAGGCTCTAGAATCCTAATGGCATGACCTATCTATTTAGAGGTATGATCTGTCTGTGCTCTGTTACATAGTGAACAAGATTTGATGTAAATGGATTTGAGCTTTGATTACCAAAGGCACAACAGAAGCTGGCGTTGTGCTTTGTGAAAATGGAATAGAAGTCTCTCATTAATTGTTTTCTAGTCCGAATGCAGAAGAGTTGCGTGGTTTCATCTTGATTTTGTTTTTTTCTTTCTCGGGCCGACTTCTCTTATTAATGCTTCATCATCTGATATTCCTGATGGCCCTTGTCATGACTGGTTGCTCATTTGGTATTTGAGCAAGAAGTTCGCTGTCAGTTTACCTTTTGGTTTTAGTTTTTCCATGGACATCTCTTACATACAGTCATATGGTACAAGGTATAACATTTGTGTCATTACTGCATGGGACCAAAGAATGCTTCATTGGCATATTTGGTAGTTTCTTGTTTATCCCTTTATAATTGTGTTAGCAGTTTTGTTTTTATTGCAATCTCCCAATGTATTAGAGGTTTAGATGTGTTACTCAGATATGTGTTATACTTTGAACATATTGCAGGAAGTTGCAGAAAACTACTGTGTTTATAGAAATGAGGTGCATCACTCTGCAGCAGAACGCACCCAGGTATTGCAAGATGTAGCTGCAGATCCTACTCTCCCTCGCACTAAAGATGTTCAATGTGCTGAGTGTAAGCATCACGAAGCTGTGTTTTTCCAGGTTAGTTTTTGATCCTGACTATGGTTCCATGAATTTTTACAGAAATCATAACAATGTAGTTGCTCTCCTGTAGTTTCCTTTTCTGTATCATTTTTCCTCCGGATGTAGACTAAAATATTAGCTGATTGGTGTGCTTATAAGTGTTTCAAGTCTTTACATGTCTGCGTAGGAATTAACGAGCTATTAAAACTTGTGGTTACGTTCTAGATGTCTGTATTGTGCATCTTGCATTCCATATGGAAAATTATGCTTCATGAACACCATATTCTCTTCATTGTGAGGGATCACGCAACTGGGCTGAAATATTGCGTACCAACTATAGCACATTAGACTAGTCGGCCATGTGTTATCCATCCTAGTGATAAATATATTTCGTAATGAAAAAGGAGTTGAGAGGAATATCGGGATTGCCTGTTTTCTATCAGGAGTTTAATATTCATTATGTTCTGCTTTACCAAAATTTGATCACATTAGTTGCATCCTTTTGCACCTACTTTCTCTATCTATTCCATTCAACTTTTTCTGAATAATTTTTAAATGGAATGACATTGCTGCCATCAGTTTTCAAGGTTGTGTCACACATTTTGACATGTTATCTAAGTTGTATCTAGTTACAGTGACATGTTGCCTAGTAGGCCACACATATGCTTATTTCAGATTCCTTTTTTTGTTTCCTTTTGTTTTGATTGTGGTCTAAAAGTATAGCTAGGAGGTGTTGTAAGTCTTTGCTGTCTGAGTGGGTACTTTGAGTACCTCTTAGCCACTTACAGGCCATAAGTAAGAGGATATATTTCATGAACAGCATACTTTCAGTGGCTAGATCTGGAAATATAATAGTTAGGCTGAAATCATGCCCACTGGTATACCGCATCCAGAGATGTCAGGCTTCAGCTGAAAACATGCATGAAACTTAGAAGGGTTTGTCACAGTTGTGCATCTGTTTCGTCTACACGAGCAAAGATGCTCCAATTCCAGATACTAGTTTTATCTTCTTTGGTCCTATTTCAGTTGCTTGAACTCCATACCCTGCATCCTATTTTTGGATGCACTCCTGGCGACTAGTTATTATGAATGGACTGCACAAAAGGAGCTCTGAGCCTGCATCCTATCTTATGCTTGTCTGTTAATTGTTATACTTTTATTTTATTTCTACACCCTCTTTGTAGGGTTCACTTGCTGCAGAGGTTTACCTTTTTTGCACATGGACACGCAAATGGGTGTCTTAAAGGATCTTCCACAAAGTTTGTGATGTTGTACAAAACATATAGATGTGAATTTACACTGCTAAAAATATCTGAATGCAGGCAACGGCCAGAGGAGAGGAAGGCATGACGTTGTTCTTCGTCTGTTGCAACCCAAATTGTGGGCATCGCTGGAGAGATTGAGGCGCTGGGAAGGATTGCGGTGTATGTTTCCAAATGTGAGGCTTGCTGTGGAGTTCAAAGAGTTTCTTGGCTACGTAGTTCCGCCATCCAACAACAGTCACGTGGAATGTATTCTAGTGTAGCCTTTTGTGGGCCGGATTTGGGCTTGACGCGGCCGTTCAGAAACCCATTAATGCATTTTAGGGTCTATGTACTGCCCATCGTTGTGCATAATTGATGCCTCTCATTTTCAAGAAATAGGCTTTGAGTAGCAAAATAGTGCTTTGCGGCCGTCTTAAGCACCTTTAGTGGTCCAGGTATGGGCTTAAAATGCTCATACCCCTTTTGCTGCCATCCATTTAATTTCGTGGAATTTACAGAGCACATGAACAAGTACCTTCAAAAGGACAAACGCCTTTTGATGATTTGAGCAGGCTTAAATAAAGCATAATATTGCACATCGAGCAACAATAATAACCTGGCTTAGAATACAACGGGACCATTAAATACACCCATTTGAGAATTGCCTATTAGGCGTCAAAGTAAGACCGACATTTGCCTTTCACGAAATCTGGGCACATGAGTGACACCGAGTCCGAGTTCTTATATATGGCCATTGTTTCCTTTTCAACTTGCAACTTCCGCAACAAGTAGTTAGTTGGCATCTTGTGAAGTGTTGAAATCAGCAAATAAATGAATCTGTTAGCACCTGTACTTACCTGTGGTGTGGTGCATCTGATGGCAAGAGAGCAGTTCCCGGCTCAAATCTTGCGCTTTTTATGATCTTCCATCGAAGAACTTTCCACCTAATACAAAGTCACCTGGCTTCCATCAACCTAAGGCATCTACCTCCGAATTCCTCAAGAGCTAAAGGAGCACAATAACTAATCCCAAAACTGAATCAAAGAGCCCCAGTAAAACAAATCATAAATTATAATTAGAAACAAAAAAAAAAAAAAAAAATTATCTACAGAAGTGAAAGAAAGGAAGCACCTAGCGCCGGTTCTACTCTCCTGTATCTACCCTAATGCCTTCCTTAGCCGGTCTGAAAGACGATTCATTTTTTTGGAGTACTCTGGATTCTTTCCAATGTATAATTTGGCATTTGATAACATGACTTCAATGTCATGCTGAAATGCCTCCAAACTTCGGTAATAGTTGTTTTCCAACCTTGCCTTGATTAAATCGAGAGAAATGGGAACTGGAAACCTGAGGAAATGATTTTGCAGTTTGGTTACACAATAATAATTCAAGCAGTAGAAACCAATCTAACTGATAATGATCTTAGATTTAGATTCACCCCTGTTAGTGCCAGAAGAACATAAATGTAAGAGGATGGTGGGGGGAAAAACTTACCTGTTTATGAAGTTGGATTTCTGCGCTATCTCACTTAACTTTCGAACACCGTATTGATCCTGAAACATTTATAAAGCAATAAGAAACCGACATTACCCAGAAAGAATTTGATCAAGCTCTCTTACTCTTCTAGCATGGCTGTTACCTTTGCTTTATTCCCTGGTCGCTCCAATTCTTCCAAGGCAGACAGCAGGCCAACTGTCGTCTCATCATCAATATGGGGCTGCTCCCATTGAATATCATCTCCTTTACTTTCTGAAAGCTCCCAGGGACTGTGGAGATGGTTCCCATGAGGGTCGTCCTTGTACTTTATGGTATATCTCTCCCATGGGCTGTCGGGAAATTCAGATGATTTCGGCTGTACACCAAGGATCCGGCCATCCCACCATTGGCCTTGTACTTCATTGTCATTCCACCATACCTTACACCTATCTCTTTTCGTCCAATTCCTCTGCAAAGAAGCCTCATATCTACTTCTTTCGACAAGGAAATCAGGGAAGGCTGTAAGTTCAGGGAGAGTCAATCTGAATGTTTTGTTATAGACATCAGATGTTGGATCTACAAATCTAAGCATCAGTTTACAGCAACTATCCCCAGAACCAGGTAGCGTGGCGTAATCTAGGCTTTCAACTCTGCAAAACTCAACTGCCTTAATAAATCCCCCTTTCACATTCTTCCATGGCCCAACTTCTTTTGTGCGAGCACCTTCCATGTACTCCTGATGGCCCTACAAAACAGAAGCTTACGAGAATATTAATATTAAAGTACTGTAATGTTCGATCTAAATGGTAAATGGTCTATTGAATAAGTTGTCAGCGGAAGCAAATTGTAGGAGTTGAAGTGTTTGTGAAATGTTGTTAATATAAACGAACAATTCTGACGATGAATAAGCGATCCCTCCTATTTGTTGATTTTTTAGGTACAAGACATCATTAAATATATGATAGTCGTGTCATGTCTAAAATAGCCCACGTTCTTTAGGAGGTTTAAAAAAGACAAAATGGCGAAAACGAAGAAATTAAAGGGATAATTTGATTGCGAAGTTGATTATTAGACAAACTGGATGAACCAACAAGTGTCGAATTGAATCTAATGGAGCCACAGAATAGTTCACCGGGATGATGAAGCACAATGTCACCAGGTCCAATGACAATTGACAAGCTCTAGTAACCTGATGCTTTTGCCCCTCTTTTTAACTTAATCGGTAGTTTTTAGAGATCATAATACTGCTATATTCCATCTCAGTGCTCATTTTCATGAATGGACTCACTAGGATATATAACTTTGCTAAAGGAATAAATCTAAGGTACTGACTACTGATAAATGAAAAAATACGTACCTGTCTCAAATATGCTATTTCATCACCTAGTTGAGGGATATAGCGAGATCCTTCCTCGTGCTTTGGCAGCACTAACCAAGATACTGGCTCAGCTGATTGCTGAACTGTCTCATGAAAACTGTAATTGGTTCTCCTATTCCTAGCAGATCTAACTCTGACGGTTGACCTGGCGCTAGAACCCCATTCTTGAGATGCCATTTGCCGCCTGTCAATAGGATCATTGGAGGAATCTCTATATGCATTCTCCAACTCATGCTCATCACTCTGCAAAATCTTGGGGTCTTCTTTCGCAATTTTTACTCCCATGGATCGTGTCCTACGGACTCCGTTGGTAAGCATATCCGTTCTACTACCGCTGACATCATCACTGGGGTTTGATGTACTCTCTTTCATGCCACTGTCACATTCCGAGTTAGCTCTATTCCTAACTGACTTTGATCTTCTATAAACGGCAGTATACATCCTTTTAGGGCGTGAATCAGCACCTGCTGATGAATCATCCAGTGTTGGTGCAGAATTCTCGTCAGCATGATCACCTGACCCCTGGACTGCAACACCGTCATAATATTCTGAACTCGTTCTACCATTGGCTTCTACCAGGTCTGGGTCCTGCTTTATCTCCACAGGCCTTCCAGGTGACGCCATCGTCAAAGGTTTCAACTTTATTCGTAACCTTGTTGGGGCAGGCAGACTGCTCTCTTTGAGTTCCAGCAGATTATCATTTTCGAAGTGAGCAACACCTGGCACTTCATCATTGTTTCCATTCATGACGACGATTGGCTGGTCCTTGTTGAGCCCATTATATGATACATCGGATGAATCAAATTCAATGTTTTGACCACCCACTGGTGACAAGTCATCAGTCTTATCTTCATGGTTCTCAGGAGTGCTCAGGTACCCATTAACAGTACTGGTGTCTTTTTCTTTGATATTGGGTAGACGCAATATGCATTTGGTAGGTGGAGGTAATGATGAGGTTTCACCCAATCTTTGACGCTTGGACGAACGAACCTTGGCACCTCCCCACCTGATATCCCCATTCTTAAGATTTTCAGCCTGCGCACAGTCATGATAGTTTGTCTGTTCTTCATCAGAAGAGTACCCTGGAACTAGAGAGCTTACACGAGTGTTGTTGACCTCCATGGCTTTCTCTGGGGCATAAGATGTTGATCCGACATAATCACCATTCTGTGGCATCACCGTAATCTTACTAGAATCACGGACTGGAAATTTAAGAACCAATTTCTTCCTGATTGCAATATTTGGATGAGATTCGTGAACCTTAGGAGGTCTATCTTCAGACACAGCCAAATCTTTCCCTTTTAAGTACCTCATGCGATCGCTCCTCAATGACATTTCTGATTCATCACTCTCCATGTCGGAATGCTCAGTTGACTCACCATCCGATGCATCGCCAGTAGATAAATATTCTTCATCTTCGTCGGCATCTTCAGCTGTTACCTTGATTAACAAGTCACGAGCCTGCTGAGCGGCAGCTCTTTGCTTTCTCTGAGGTCTCATCAATGCATTAGATTTGGAGGACTTTTTCTTCTTAGTTTTGCGGACAATGTGTGGTTTCCTACTACTACTGCTGATTCTCAATGTATTTACATCACAAGCATCCAAATTCCTCCTCTTGATACGTCTTCCAGAAGAAGTCGTCACCTCAATCTGCAGTGAAGTAAACAGGACAAGGTTTTTCGCGTCAAACATGCAACAGAAAAGATAGGGGATGATTAACTGGTCCAAAACAGTTAACCAAACTGAAAAATTGATAACCAACACCTACCAAGGATGTGCTAATTTCAAACAGAAACAAAGCTTTTAACTAAGAGGCCAAAACCAATACTCCAGACAGTGTTCATAAAAGAAAACTCCATACGGATAGCAGAATAACTTATACAAACTTGATGGATATAACATCTTCTTTGAATGTATTTTACTGAATTTAATTTTCCTCAATTTTTGCTAGTGATTTATTTCAATAACTTTTTGTTGCTTTTTGGTTTTACGTTATATTATTGTTTCGTTGTATTATGGTTTTGGATTCTGGTTAAAAAGAAAAACAAAACTGGTTAGCAACCCCAAAAAATAGATGGCAAAACACAACAGCTCGAAGATACGTACTTCAGCCCGGTGTTTTTTCTTCTTGGACTGACGGAAATCATCTCTGCACTCATCCATACTGTCATCTGAACTACATTCTGGATCTCCAGAGGAGAAAGAATTCAAACTCCCCTGCTCGCCTCCAGAAGAATATTCATCAGGGACATTGTACTCAGAATCAGCATCGTCGCTCTGCATTTGGTGTACTGGTTCCCAATCGATAACATCAACAAATTCAGGAAGTGGCTCCATGGGCAGATCCAAGTCAGCCAAGGGTAATATATGGTAATCTGGGTCGAGACTGAAGTCTGGCCCAATGGCAAATTTCACAAGTGATGGTTTCCACTCCAAGCCCAGAGCTCCTAATCGCCTCTTTTGGTAAATGCTCTGGTACGGTTCTTCATAAGGGATCATGCCTAGCAGTTGCAAAACAAGATAGATACGAAATCAATCTTTTTGGATAAAAGTTGAGATATACTGTGGCCAAATTCAAAGTAGTATACCTGAGTCGCACAGAAGATCCTGCATATTTCGCCTGTATGGTACCAACTGAGTTTCCTGAACAATGGCATTTATAAATTAGAATTAGGCCAAAGCAGAGGATCACAATACACATATTTACAAAGGGGCTCTAGAATAAAACCAATCAGTTGAATGTAAAAAGACCAGCCACTATTGACCCCATGATCAAAGTTTTCAGTAATTGAAGTTGATATCAAATCTCACTGTAGAGAACATGAAAATACTAAACTCCAAGTGATCATTGTAACGGTGTCACAAACTGCCACATGTTTGAATATGCTAATGAAGAGGTACCAGCATACCTGATCAACCACATTTCCGTAAGTATCTTGAATCAGGGGCCGATAATCACCAAGGAAGAACTGCAAGCAAAATATTTTTATATAAAATAGCATAAAAGATTTAAATACATATCCAACAGCAAACAAAATATCATCTATAGCATTTGGTACCTGGTCATACTTGGAATCCTTTTGGGACTCGCCTTGACCCGTGTTTAGTATATACAATTGACCAACATCATCCGAAAGTATAATGCAAGTTCCATCCCTATCATCAAAGAGAATATCCCATAGTGACAAAAATACAGGGGATCAAGCAAATACTGGCAAGAGTAAGTTACTGTTATTGATCTGCTCAGTCTGGCTTGGGCTTTCTGAATCCTAGATACTTGATTTTTGTTTCGTAATGAGCCATTCAAAATTTAGAAGATGTTAGTCCAGAGCTAATTATGTTTCAATGACATGTTGGATCATAAGCAAATCAAAGATATCAAAATTAAGAGTCCAAAATCATACACAGCAATGAAAACAATAGCAACAAGCCAAATTGTTATGAAAAAGAGAAAATACCAAGAAATTTGACTTACGGAGAAAACTTCCCATCAACTAACTTGAAGTGTGAAATTTCATATGTTCGGATTGGCTTGCCCTCCCAGATCTTGAAACACAAAAAAAGATTATCACTCTTATGGCAGGGAAGAAAAGGGCGGGAGTGTCAGGGAAGTCAGCAAAGGCTACAAATGGGAACTCACATCCCAAACTATAGTCCTTCCATCATAGCCAGCACTCATCGCAATGCGCAGGTTGAAAGGATGAACATCCAGCACATATGTCTGCAAACACATTCAAGGCTACAATCGTTACTGCCTTAAACATCATGGAAAACTGTTAGCAATGTAAGGACGACCAACAATTGTTACTCAAATGCAAAATATGCCTCTATTGTGGAGACAGTACATCATTACTGGTGCCACAGAAGTTGTTTTTAAAAGGCTCAAATCACATGGCATTCTAATGCAACACGCAGAACAGGGGTCGTGCTACTGGTAAAGACCAATTTAGAGGCATGTCTCAGATATTAAAGTATACATGGGTAACAGGACAAAAGCTAAATTCACTTATTCCCATGGAAAAATACTACCTTCACCTTTTTCTAGCTTTATCCTACTTTTCAAACTCTCATCGCCATCATTACCTTGTAGAGAATCAGGGCTAAGACTACCCCAATTTCCGACTGGCGTATATTGCATAAAGGTATCATCGACTGGTCACACTTCAGCATTGCATATCAACCAGAAAGCATGAGCTACAATTACAAACCATAACAGGTAGTAGTTATATCCAAGGATAAACTACTTACAGAATCAGTGTGACCAGTCAATGAATGTACCAAGCTACCATCAGATGCATTCCACACACATATTCTGCAATCTGCATCAAAACATACACATGATAAGGCCAAGATATTAGCAGTTCGCAAAAAAGTGAGGAGATGCTGTAAACGCAGTTCGTAAAACAAATTTGTAAAATGCATACTGGGGCTCTAAATGCAGGGACTAATGACAGCAGACAGCCTGCTCATGATGCATGAACAATGGCAACGATTGAACAAAAACTCCGCCAAATGCTATTTCATAAAGGAGTTTTGAAGCAAGTTCCGGAACCATACTCTCCCACACCCCCTTCACCTCTCCCACCTCTAATGGGACACAAATAAACATCATGGTCTATCTATTGGAGAGCACCTCCTGCCACATATAAGATTATTACCCATGATAGCAGCGAGGACAAAACGATTATCAAGGCTCCACACAATCATGTTAACACCACGTGGTGTTGGAAGCATTCTCTGTCGTGGGCCTCCTCGTGCTGGCTGAGGAGGCATTGGGGGAGGAGGGACTTTAAGGTGATATGCTCGTGTCCAGCGGCCAGCTTTTCCCTAGAAAAGAAATAAGTTGCTCAAAAATAGAGGAAAACTTCCAATAAACTAGTTGGCTCCAACTGAATGCATAACGCAGATAAATCAACCAGTTTACTGCTTTCGGAAAATAAAAGAATACAAGAACATAGCACCAGAAAGAGATATGTACATATAATAAAACACACAGTTGCTGAAAATAAGAACCTCACATGGTTTCATAAAAAAAAAGAACCTCACATGATATCTACGAGATCTTGGAATCCAAATTATTGCACTGCCATCTCGAGAACAGGTCACAATGTTGTCTTGGGAAAACCTGGAGAGATAAAAACATTAGCCAGTAACTAGAGACACAGTGGAGATACACCCATTAAGTAATAAACGAAAAAAGTAAATAGAGAGGATAAGTCAACAAACCATGAGTTTCTAAATTTAGCAATCTTCTCTTCCTTTGAACAGTCAGTTAGAGAAAACCCAGAAGCCACTGCACAACCACTGGAAAAACAATGCAGAACTACAGGTCATCATTCCCAACAATTCAGATTGTATTTATCAGCAAAAAAAAAAAAAAGACATACCTAAATTGAACATAATTAACATCATTCTCATGGCCAGCCAATACGTCCATCTCATGAATGGGTTGGTCCGAATCGTCCGTGTTGGGTTTACAAGCATTCCACACCTGCAAGGGTCTAGCACTTAATAACAGATACAGACAAATGCATTCATGGATAGTCTTCTACTCGCTTCTTTTTCTCAACAAACATGAATTATCATTAAAACAATGAGTGGTGTCTGTACGGGTTACAATGAGGAATTGAGAACTAAAATGATTCCCAAGAATCACTTGTTTTTCTTTTGTTGATGTGGATGTTCAGGGCCATTCATTTTGACAATCAATAATACTGTTCTGACATCAGCAATTTTAAGTCAATGGCATCATAGAATCCACAGTTAAATTTGATCAGTCCAAGAAACACCATAACATGAAAACAAGGATGCTGATCTTTACCCTAGCAAAACTGTTAACGCTGATGAGAAGTACAGTTCGACAATAAATGGATTTGAAACAGATTAATTGGTGGGTCCAATCCCTAAGTAATCATGCTTATTGCATAGTGGACATTGGATATGGCACGGAAGTTCAAACAATACCCTGGCAAAATTATCAGAGCTACCAGTGACGAATACAGTTCCACTAGCATTAAATGAACAGCAAAAGATCTGATGGATTGGTGGATTAGTGCTTGATGAAGGACCATTGTTCTTTCCTGCAGAGCCATTACAAAAATCTGTAAGTTCTTTCAACAAAAAGTTATTCAACCAAAAATGACCCAGCGGTACTAACCAGCAGCAGAATCTGATGGCCTCGGGGCATACACTCGTGGACTGATTACGGATGACCTGGAATCCCATATCCTACATGTGCCGTCATCAGAAGACCTATAACAGAACAGAGAAGCATCCTTACTACAAAGACAATAAAAAAAAGATCTTCCAAATGTATCGGTATCAAAATTAATCCCCCCCCCCCCCCCCCCCCCCCGAGATATAAAATAACATACGAGTGTATTTGCTGACATATCAAACATTACAGAAAGCAAAGTTATAGTGAGCAAAGATCATAATTTGAATTAACTACTCCAGATGGCAGCCTGAATTTCAATTTTAAGCCTAGCAAGAAGCAAATACTTTACAAGTCTGAGCACTTCCGTATGATTTATGTATTAAGGCTCCCCTTCAATTACGAGAAATTAATTTGGTGGAATTAACATCATTCTAGGCTTTTTATGTTGAGAACGATCAGTTCAGTCTCACAGGGGCTATAACAGGTTACCATCCAGTGCAACCTTTAACATGTACATTGACATATCCCAGACAAAAAAAATATATATATTTAACATTGTAAATGTAAACAACAGAGTACGAGGCTAGGATTCATATTAGTTTGTTCCAAGGGCACAGATTCGACACAAATGCACATAGAAGCACACAGCTAGATAATAGTTATGGACTGGGTATCAACTATTTACAGCAAAGGAGCCACTATAATTATATATATATGTAAAAAAAACTTACGATAGAAGCTGGTAAACAGATCCAGGCCTAGGACTAAATGCAATGGCAGTAACAGCTCCAGTATGGCCACGCAAAATTGATATTGGCAATCCATCTGGTAGACGCCACTGTTAAACCACAGATAATTAAATCTTAAAGATCAAGTAGAGCAAATAGATCAATTCACATTATATAATTGTTTACAATAGGGTGAAGAAGCTCACAATGCGAATTACAAAATCATTAGATGAAGATGCCACCAACACATTGTTGGAACTGACTGCCAAGTCCGTAATATCCCCCTATTATAATGTGGATCGCAGAATGCATGAGAGTTATAGTACACAAAGTAATTGGATAACAATGAACATATGTTGCTCCATGGCCCATGCATACTCACTTCGTGTCCACGACAGCTGGCTAAACAGAATGCAGTTTCCATAGACCAAATTTTGACAAGGCGATCATCTGAACCAGTAATCACATATCTTCCTAATCGATCAAATATTGCTGCATTATTCACAGACGAAAGGGTTCAGCCGTTAAATTAAAATAATTGAGCTTAGATATTGCTTTAACAAGTTATTTCCAAATAAACCAGGCAATAAGAAAAGGAAGCTCCGTCCTAATAAATACGTACCACAATACACTGCGTTCCGATGGCCCCGCAACCTTTTAATGTTCTGCATTTTCTGCACCATTGTTGATGGCTTTGCAATAGCATAACTAGCAGCACGAATAGCAGGCGCACGGTGGTGTCTTGTAAAGCCGCCTCCAATTTCCCTCAAACTTAGACCACGGACCTGATCAGCAAGCATGTGAGGCCATCGCATGTGACCAGGACACTTGGCTTGAGCATATCCCTTATCTCTCTCATCTGAAATAGAGGGGCCCACGGGAATATTTATTTCAGATAACCATTAACAGAATATCCAGGGGAACATGCTAGGTAGAGCAATAATTCGTTATCTCTAGGAGGTTGAGGATAATCTTGGATTATAGATAAATGTCACCTACGGCTCATAAGCGAAAAGGATCCAGTTCCCAGAAGAGTAGGAACAGCAGAAGCATTCAGAGTATTTTCGCCAAACAAGCCTTGTGTAGGAGATGCTGTGTTGAGTAAAAGCTGTTTCAAGAGGTTCACCAGATGGTCCTTCTCAATGTGCTTGTACCTAATAATAACAATAGAGTTGAGTTGCAGCACGATGAATAATGATTTATGTGATTGGAAAACTATAAGGTGATTGATATTCACAGGAAAAAGATTCAGCTCCAGACTATTATCAACTTACCTCTCCGCCAAATCACCATAACTTAGAGGGAACGATAGACCATCATCATTTTCTTTCATGCTATGCACTCCACTCCTAGAATACCAAGCATGGTACCTTCTGGGTAAAAGTTGATTCTCTAGAAGTTCATTCCATAGCTGGCCATAAGTTCTCTGGCATGGACCAGTAGAGAGAAAATGCATGATTAAAAAATAAACTTCCCTAAGGTCAATATCAACATCTTGCTCTGAAGTACATCGAGTGACAGTATCTGGCAGATGAGCTTTCTCATAACCCTTGCCAGGAAAGCTCAAGGGCTTCATACTGTTGGCAGGTGGTGTATTGCCCAAAGGAATGTACTTCTGAAGTGCCATTTTTCGCAATCCTGAAAATTGGAAAAGAACATCAAGCACGTAGTAAACCAATGCACAGCTATAATCAGTTCAGACTCCGTTTCTATCATTTTTGTGCCCACTCAAAATATCAGAGGTTAAACCTGGAGTTGGAGAATCACTGATAGAAGAGTTTCTTTCAACATAATTGTTCAAACCCGTTGCCTAGAGGTTAAAATTTATAACTTCAGTTTTGCTACAGTAGTTCATTAAGAGTATGTTTGCATGAATTGCGAAATAGGCAACTTCAGTTATCATAAAATTTCAATAATGACACTGCGCTGCCATCCTTCTAAACAACATAGCCGGAATCGCACAGCAATAAGGACCGAAAATCACATTACACCACAAGCATGGATTTCCCAGAAGAACTGAAAATATCCGAGATCGAAGACTCAAAAGTCCACAAATCAAACAATGGCACGGTATACTTCTTACAACTTGACGACTGAATCGACCAATGAAACAGCTAAAGAAGTTTCTGGACAGTTTTGCTACAGTAGTTCATAAAGAGTATGTTTGCATGAATTGCGAAATAGGCAACTTCAGTTATCATAAAATTTCAATAATGACACTGCGCTGCCATCCTTCTAAACAAAACAGCCGGAATCGCACAGCAATAAGGACCGAAAATCACATTACACCACAAGCATGGATTTCCCAGAAGAACTGAAATTATCCGAGATCAAAGACTCAAAAGTCCACAAATCATACAATGGCACGGTATATTTCTCATAACCTGATGACTGAATCGACCAATGAAACAGCTAAAGAAGTTTCAGGACAGTACCCTAACCTTCTGCCATGTGCAAACCAATCGATCACAGAGACGGTAGGTTTCCAGAAACCAGAATGCCCTCCTCTTTGTCTCCAATGCCCGAGCAATAATCCAAATGCATTCCTCCGAAATAACAGCAAACCCTAATTCAATTCCCTCGCTACTCTCTCCCTGTCACAGGGCAATACCGAAATTCGCAAGGAAAATTAGCGCCAAGCATCCTATATGGCGATCTCATGCAAACTATTCACCAACCTAACATATCAGTTCTCACTACAACATACAATCCCCCAGACATTCTAAACAGGGAAAACGATCACAATGAAGAGATTGCTGGCGAGAACCTTCAAGGGAGTTCCAAAGCTGAAACGGAAAATCAAAACCTGCTAGGGTTTTACAGTGCCAACCGCCAAGTGTCTCCGCCAACTGCTTCTAATTCCGCGGCGAAAAATGGGGATCCACAAGGTGGCCGGAGTTGCAGAACGAGGACAGCAAAAATGACATTCCAATAGAGTTTCCGTAATCGTCAAGTCCGAATCAGGCCGGAAAAGAAGAGAGCAGCCGTTCAGGTTCCCGGAACGAGCTCGGCGTTCCTACTCTCGCGATAATTGTTCGTCCGGTTTCTCTCTGCGTAGCCGAGCCGATTGAAGGGGAGATAGAGACGCACGCAGCGTGGAGATGGAGAGAGAGGGTGTGGGGATATAGAATTACAGACGAAGGCGAAGCAACAGATGGAAACGGGAGAAAACGCGAAACGTAGCGTTTCGGTATCTTTGTTCAGTGATTTTCTTCCCGGGGTAACGGCAGAACGGTGGTGAGAACTGGGAAGGACTGGACTACTGGAGTAGAAAAAAACAAAGTGGAACCTAATAAGATATTTTCTGGATTTAGCACATTTTGACGGTAACACACCACGCGCGGTGGCCAGAAGTGTTGGTTACGCGATCAAGCCAGCGTCGACGTAGTGAAATGGTTTGCCTCCGTGTGTGTTTTTAGTTTTTACTGAAACCTGGGCTTTATAAATCTAAAAGGGGATAACAAGCACATTATTATATAGAAAAGCACAAGTTTTGAGTTTTGAGTTTTGAATTTCGAATTTTTTTTATTGACGATGGATTTGTTGCATTTTGTATCTGAAAAATAATATTGTTTGTTTAGTTGAATTTTTATTATGGATTTAGTTAATTTGTTATTTGAGTCTTACAAATTTGCCTTTCATGATGTGGTATTTGTAAATACGTGAGGTCTATGGATTTGAAGCTAAAAAATTGTCCAAATCCGTGGGCCCACGGATTTGCATACCTTAACAAACAATGATTTTGAACAAAAAACATGATGGTATTTGGAGATCAAATAGAACATCCAAATCCCATTACCAAACAACACCTAATATAATGGGGCATATCTATAAGCCAGATAGTTGGTTGGTTCAAGACTTCCAGCCCATAATGAGAAGCTAATATTTGTATTATGTGCTAAGCTTAAGAAACACATTGTAAAAATGTAATAGTAAGGCTGAATAAGACGGAAGATTGATTGAAATGGTTAATAACGAATTGATCTCAATAATTTGAGTATGAAAGTTGATTCATAAAGTTTGCACATGTCTAGATAGTATTTGCTTAATAGGATAAATGAAGTTATCGGGATTTGAATAAAAGACTTCTCGGTTACAGACAGGGTCATCAGAATTTTAATAGAAAAACTCTCGATCACAGAAGGCTCTAATACCATGCCAAGTACCGGTTGATCCTAATAACTCAAGTTGTCGAGAAATGTTCAATTATGAATCATATACTATTTTCTAACTAAACTGGGAATGGAAAATTCTGTGATATGATAGGAAAGAAGAGAGAACCTATTGATTTTGGGAATTCATCCCTAGATCAACAAACATAGTGTCTCATTACTCATGGAACGCGACCGTGAAGTCAGGCCGCAATCTCCAAAGTCAAACAAGACCAAAATTGTTGAAGTCAAGATAGTGACCTCTCTTCCTGAGATCATGGCAACAATCTCCTACATTGTGATCGTGTACCTGCCCGTGTCCTCATAATTCTATAAATATGGGACTTCTTTTTATGAATCAATATTGGACTTCGCCCCTTGAGTAGATGGCTTTTGACAGATTTTTTTATTCTAGAGTGAGGTTGACGTAGCGCGGCCTGGATAAAATCAACAATCCGTTGATCCCGCAGGATACCGGAAGATCGATCGTCGTTAGCCTATTGATTCTGGGAATACTAGGTTAACGACATCAAAGACGAACTCACACAAGGGTCCGACTTTGGAAAAGAGAGCGGCGCTCTATAATGTTATTCAACTCAAAAAACTACTAATCCTCTTGTTCCAATGACAGTTTATAGTACTTGTAAAGAAAACCTAACCAAACAAAAGCCCACGTAAAAACCCATAAACAAAAACGTCAATTTGCATGGGCCGCAATGCATGGATTGAGTTCGCTTCCCTGCCACGTTACCGTCGCTTCATTCGATCCCGGCGCTCAAGGAAAAAATTCGCCGCGTCCTCCACTGCATCATCCTCTCCGGGGTGAACAGAATTCGCCCTCGAATTGTCGTCGTCAGAATCATCCCCTGCAAAAGGAACAAGATGTTTGACATTGAAAACATCCGACGTGCGAAGATGGCTGGGAAGCTTTAGGCGATACGCATTGGGGTTGATCTTTTCGACTATCTCAACTGGCCCGATCTTCCTGGCGGACAGCTTGTTGTAATCACCTGCTAAAAATCGGTCCTTGGTGAGGACGGCCCACACAAAGTCACCAACTTCAAATTCCACATGTCGCCGCTTCCGATCGGCTACCTCTTTGTACTTGGCCGCCATCTTCTCCAAACTCTCACGCACAGCTTGATGCACCTCCTGTAACCCCTGAACGAAGTCGACAGCCTTGCCGTGGATGCGAGTTTTATCCGGCATCCCCAGCAAATCCAATGGTCCTCGTGGAGTGCTCGAGTAAACCACTTGAAAAGGACTAAAACCTGTACTGCGATTAATGGCATGATTATGTGCGAACTCAGCCTGGCACAACTTCAGATCCCAACTCCTCACATTCTCACCCACTAAGCACCGCAACAGATTTCCCAAAGAACGATTAACCGTCTCGGTTTGTCCGTCTGTCTGTGGGTGATAGGCACTGCTAAACTTCAGTTCAGTATTCACCATCCGCCAAAGGCTACGCCAGAAGTGACTGAGAAACCGGGTGTCCCTGTCGGAAACAATAGAGGTAGGCAACCCATGCAGCCGGTAAACTTCTCGAAAGTAAAGCTGTGCCACTCGGACCGCATCAGTAGTCTTCTTGCAGGGAATGAAGTGAACCATTTTAGAGAATCGATCAACCACGACATAAATAGAGTCGTTGCCCCGTTGTGTACGAGGTAACCCCAATACAAAATCCATGCTAACATCTTCCCATGGTCCCGACGAAATGGGCAGGGGCCTGTATAACCCGGCGTTAGTGGCGGTACCCTTGGAGACCTGGCACGTGCGGCACCGCTCCACGAACCGCTGAACCTCTCTTCGCAAGGTGGGCCAATAATAGCTATCTTGGACGATTTGGAGCGTCCGATCCCGCCCGACATAACCCTCACCATGCAATTCTTGGATTATTAACGTGCGCAGGCTGCATTCAGGGATGCACAGTTGGTGGCCCTTGAACAAAAACCCATCTTGAAGGAGGTATCCTGTTCTCTCCCCAGCCCGAGTGCGCTCGAGCACCACAGAAAAGAAAGGGTCAGTGTCTAACAAGGCAGGTAAAGTATGAAAGCCAGGTACCTCAATCGTCATTCGACCCATAAGACTCCGTCGCCTGCTCAACGCATCCGCAACTCTATTAGTGATACCACTCGTGTGCTTCACCACGAAAGTGAATCGCTCCAAGTAAGCCACCTATGCGGCATGGCGGGCGGACACTTTGTCTTGCCCATGTAAGTGTTTGAGCGCCTCATGATCAGTATATAAAATGAACTCGCGATGAAACAGATAATGACGCCAATGCTTCACTACTTGAACGACAACGTAAAATTCCACATCATACGTACTGCATCGCAACTTTGCTCCTGTCAGTTTCTCGCTGAAGTAGGCGATGGGTCATCGATTTTGACTCAGGACGGCGCCTATCCCGACCTTCGACGCATCAGAGTGCAGTTCGAACGGTTGCTGAAAGTCAGGTAGCACTAGAATCGTCGGTCCAAGAGAAATGGCCGCAGCGCATGCAATCCGTGATCGGTGCCATAATGCTGCTAAAATGAGGAATGAATCTTCTATAAAATGATGCAAGCCCATGGAAGCTCCTGACATCCGTCAATGTCCGTGGTCTGGGCCACTGTTGCACTGCCGCCACCTTTGACTTGTCTACCTGCAACCGTCTGCTGATATCACATACCCCAGGAAAACCACTTCAGATGTCATGAAGACACACTTCTTCAATGCAGCGTAGAGCTTCTCTCGCCGGAGTACAGTCAGGACCTCCTGCAGGTGTTGCAGATGATGTGCGGGATCCACACTATATATCAAGATGTCGTCGAAGTAAACCACAACACACTTACCAATAAACGGCCTCAAAACCTGGTTCATCACACGCATGAAGGTGCTAGGCGCATTCGACAACCCGAAGGGCATAACAAGCCACTCGTACAACCCTTCCCGCGTCTTGAACGCGGTCTTCCACTCATCTCCTTCTCGAATCCGAATATGGTGGTAACCACTCTTCAAATCGAGATTCGAGAAGACACAAGCACCGCTCAACTGGTCAAGTAGATCATCTAGTCGTGGAATAGGGAAGCGATACCTAACAGTAATTTTATTAATAGCGCGGCTGTCGATGCACATGCGCCAGGAGCCATCTTTCTTGGGAGTCAACAAAGCGGGGACAGCACACGGACTCAAGCTTTCTCGTACAAAACCCTTCGAGAGCAAACCCTCTACTTGTCGTCGGAGTTCCTCGTGCTCTGTGGGACTCATCCGATAATATGGCCTGTTAGGAAGAGCTGCTCCTGGTTCAAGGTCGATCCGATGTTGGATGTCCCGTAACGGTGGTAACTCGTCGGGGAGGTCCTCTGGGAATAGATCTCGAAACTCATGAACAATTCCGCGGGCGGCGTCGGGCACTGCTACCCCCTCTGAGACTTCCCTTCCAATGAGTGCGAACATCACTCCCGATTCGCGGCTTTCCTCTTCGAACCGAGCGAGGGATAGTAACTTCTTGTCCAGCTCATGGCATGTTGTTCCTGACGTCGACTTCTCTCGGGTGGGAACCAATACTACTCGCACCCCTTCGTATAAGAAACTGTACGTATTTGCTCGCCCATCATGTAGTACTCCCCTGTCAAATTGCCACGGCCTCCCTAAAAGCAAATGGCATGCGTCCATCGTGACAACATCGAACCAAACGGAATCCTTGTACTTGGGACCAATGGAGAATGGAATCAAGGCTCGCTTGGACACATTAACCTCCCCTCCCTTCTTCAGCCAAGCCAATTTGTATGGCTTCGGATGACTCTCGACTTCAATGCCCAATTTTTGCACGGCTTCGGCGGAGATGATATTTTCGCAACTTCCCGAATCAATCTTGAAACAACAAACTTTGCCAAGAATCGTACAGGTGGACTGGAAGATATTACTCCTCAACCAATCTTCCTCGATCGCGCGGGGCGTCATGCAAGATCTCCTTACGACCAAGTTCACAGCCCCGTCCCCCGTAACAAACTCCTCCTCGGTAGGTTCCTCGTCAAACACCGGGTGGCCATCACCGAGAGCATTAAACACAACATCATCATTCACAGTCTCATCCGTGAACATCACCTTCT